ATCGATGGGTCACAATCGTACACATTATCAGAATGAGAGACGAAAAAGTTTAGAATGAGTCTCTTTGAGATACAACCTCACAAATCACTCGAAGGATTTCGATGTCCTGACTTAGCATTGTTGCGCCTTGGATCCGAGCCATGTTGCTGCTCTTGCTGTTACGGTTGTCAGCATCACTGATTTATCCAACTCCGGTAACGTTCCAGATCGTTGCCTGTCAATCACGTGCAATGTCAACCACCAAGATCAGCAATCAGCTATTCTTTCTTTCCGTACCGGAAACAGAGAGCTCAGCCAATACTTCAACACCGGCTCTGACAACAGCCACCAGTCTTAGCACGTCCGCCTCTTTTCTAATGCCATCCAGGAATCGGGGTTGTGTTGAGTGTGCAGGAGGCGATATCATCTAGAGGAGTTTCAGCCAGTGACATAGACAACGCCGTAGCCATTCTTTCATGACAGTAGAGAGCTGGATGAGAGTGCAACATACACAGATTGTGACGATGGATATATGACTGATAAATCGTGGCTGCGAGATAACTGTGTATGCAAGAACTCAAGCACACCAGTGATCAAATGATTCTGGGTTCCTCACGTCCTTGTATGTTAGAGCCCAGCTTTCACATCCAGAGGATGAAGCAGATGGCTGCCTGCAGAACACGGCAGTTCTGCTTAAAACTGATCTGCCATCGTTTCCCCAATGGTTTACACAGCTGCAGATAGCCTACCTTGCAGCTACTAGCCGATACCTAATTTCATCTTCAGATTGTCCACTGGCAAGGATGGAGAAGCCAAGGCATTTGAAAGTGGAGAATTGCTGAAGAGGAGTGGCATACAGGCGGACGGGTCTTTTTCTACATCAGGGAACCGAGTCATGGGCTCGCAGGGTTGAAAGAAAACCGAAACCATTGGAGAAACCTCCTAAAAGTGCTGCTCCTTCCTGTAAGAACGTGTTAGATAAATGGATTGACGAATGGCGAACTTGGCCACCAAACTCTGTCTACAAAGAAGGGTATAAACTTTCCCCTCAGCCGTTTACTCTCTAGCCACCTCGGATGACAGACAGATTTCCAAATGATAACAGAACGAGCATAAGAGACGCGCAGATCTGTCAATCTATCCTATCACTGTTGGTAGTACATATCGCTGCAAACGTTGGATTGCAATGCAAAGAACTGGCAGCAGAAGCAAACACAGAATCAAGTAAGAAACTTTATTTTCTGCGGAAACGAGGGCAAAACTTTCAAACGACATCACATGACGCCTCGAAAAAGTTCCAATGATGGCCACTGACAGGAAACCGTGTTGAAGCTCTTTAAGAACAGCTTTCCAGTAGCTGCCGCCAATTGCTGCGGTTTCAAAAGGATTGGAGGTCAGAGAAGAACTTTCTTGTGGACACGAGAGGTACATCTGGTGGCTAAAGAGAAAAAGGCTGCGTTCAAAAAGGCTTACCAGCAGAGTCTTCAATTCGCATGCAATAATGTAGAAGCGCGCAAAGAGCTAGCGAAAGCAGTGACGAAAGCTGATTACTGGGAGAAGTTCAGTGAGGCATTGGGGTCTAATTTCCACACGGCAAACAAGGTATTCTGGCAGACCATTCGCCGACTTCGAGATGAAAAGAAGGCCAACCTAAGAATCTTGAAGAACAGGTCTTGACACCCTCTTACCGAGAATAAGGAGATTCTTCAGCGATGGAGAGAGTACCTTGAGAACTCCTTAACCCCGAGCAATTACAGAAAGACTCGCCGGAAGAGCAGGAGAGACCGGATATTAGTATCTCTGTAGCTGAAAAACTTCAAAAGTAGCAAGGCTGTGTTAATCCATGCAATCCGCTCTGAAATGCTCAAAGTTTTCGGGTAGCAAGACATGTTGTGGATAACACGTGCCTGTGAAACTACCATGGATATAGAACGGAGAACTGGGGTTTCAGTACCCCTGTTCAAGAAGGGAAACCATAAGGAGTGCTGCAATATACGAGACACTAATCTACTGAGCGTGTCGGGAAAAGTCTACGCAAATCTGTTACAAATAAGGTGCCATAGATTAACTGACTCTAAGACACAAGAACAGCAGCATGGCTTCGGGTCAGGTTGAAGAACCTCTGACCAGATTTTCGCCCTATGCCATATTGTTGAGAAATCATGAAGGTTCGCTTCGGTTCCGATTAACACGTGCTTTGTTAGCCTGTTTAACGTCTATGTCGGCGCAAAAAGCTATGGAGGTGCGTGCACAGATATTGGATCGATGGCCAGTTGCCACAAACCATTCAGTCCCAATATGTTTATTGTAAGTGTTGCTTGGGAGAAAATGGCGTTAAGTCGAAGCCTATCAGTGTTGGCACTGGTATTCACTAAGACTGGGTTCTGTTTCCTCTTCAGGAGGAGGACAGATGGAGACGCCTGGCACCACGGGGTCCTGTTTCTTGGTGATGGAACATTTCAGGATAAGATCGAGATCGACCGGCGAACTGGAACGGTCAGCAGCGTGCTGCATGAATTAGCCCGAACCGTTGTCACTGAAGCGGAGCTGAGTCAGAAGACTAACCTGTCTTCAAGTTGATATTCATTCTGATGGTCACCTGCGGTCGAGAGTCGTGGGCCATAACAGAAAAACTTAGATTC